TGTGAATAGGATTGTGGGAAAGGATCTATTGTATTTAGGGATTGAAAGGAAGACCCAGGAAAGGAAATTCCCAGAAAGAAAAGAAAATGCTTGAAATCTTAGGAAAAAAGAAAGGGAGAACAGTTCTCTGCCTGCTAATGAAAATGACTAAATGGTTCCTATTTCCTCCTGTTTCCAAGATCTGCCCTTTCCTATTCTGCAAGGAAAGGAGGACAAAAATCCCTCCATTTCTCCTGCAAGGGACAAGTCACCTGGGACCAAAAGGAGCAAACACCAGGTGAGAATTCATTTCCTCCTCAAGTTAAAAGACCCTTTGTGATATAATGAGAAACGTGTGTGGTTTTTGTCACTGGTTCCTGGCTGGATGCCAGAAAGACCAAGCCTTCATTAAAGCTTTGAACTTTCAGCCCAGCCCCCAATCTCCCAGGGAAGAGGGGCTAGAGATTCAGTTAATCACCAATTGCAAATGAGTTAATCATGCTGGAGGGGAGTTCCCAAAGTGGGCATGGAAGCCCTGTGCATCCCTCACCCCCACACCTTAACCCTGTGCATCTCTTCCATTTAACTATTCTGAGTGGTGTCCTTTATAGGAAACTGTAATACAGGTTGAGTATCCTGTTTTCATTACTATAATGAAATGCCTGAGGCAGGATAATGTTTGTTTATTTGTTTGTTTATTTCTGGGTACTAGGAATTGAACCCCCAAGTGCACTTTACCACTAAGCTACATCCCCAGCCTCCTCCCTTTTTTTTGGATACAGGGCCTTACCAAGCTGCTGAGGAATCTTCCTGCCTCAGCCTCCCAAGTTGCTGGGATTATGGGTAAAAGCCACCACACCTAGCTGAGGCAGGATAATTTTATAAAGAAAAGGTTTATTTAACTCACAGTTTGGGAGGTTCAAGGGCATGGTGCTGTCATGACTCAGCTCTGATGAGTGCCCTCTGGCTGCATTACATCATGGAGGATGGCAGTGGGAGGAAGCTGTCCCATGACCAGACACGAAGCAAAAGAGTAGCTAGGGTTCTGCAGTCTCTTCTGAGGGCACACCTCTGAGCCACAACCCCAGCCCTGCAATCTACTTTTAATGAAGTATTCATAATGAGTGCACACCCCTAGTTGATCAAAGGGCCTCCCATGCCCCACCTCTGAGAAGTTCCAACACCTCAACACATTTCTTTATCCATTCATCCATTGATGGACACACCTAGGTTGGTGCCCTCAGTTCCACATCCTGCCCACTCAAGAGTTTTGTTTGTTAAGCTGCAGAAGCAGTGACATTATCAGAATTAGCTTGTTTGCTTTTATAAGCAGCATCCCAAGGACCAGTTGTCCCCATGTACTTCCAAGAAAGTAACTTTCTACAGAAGCCTGCAGGAGAGAACACCAATGTCCTTTAAGATAGTATGTATCTGGACTTTCTGGCCCAGGCTTGCTTTCATTGTTACTTTAACATGGATAGCTCTTGGGAAACAGAAAGGAGGCATTTACTATTTTAAAATGATATTATTCTCTATTTAAAAACCAAGTTTTTCTCCTGATAGCACTTCTGCCACTAAATGTATTTTTGTACATTAATTCTCCAACACCACTGGGTGTCTTACAAGTCAATTCTCACACTGTCTGCAGTTAATGAAGCCCCGCCCCCAATCCCACAATACTGCCCTGTTATCAGATGCAAGTCTCAAATGGGATGCTCAAGCTACCCACATTTCTGCTCAGCAAACTACAAATTTGGGGTTTCCCATCATCCCTCTCAGGGTTGATAATTCACTGGAATGACTGTCCCACTTTTCTTTAAGGTTGATACATGCCTTATAGACCTTTGTTAGAAATTTGGCTTTTATTCTGAGTGAAATGAGTTATTATAAGAGGGAGCTATCTGACCTTTAAAATAATCATTATGCTCAGAGGTAGAGCACTCGCCTAGCACATGTGAGGCCCTGGGTTCAATCCTCAGTGCCACATATAAGTAAATAAGTAAGTAAATAAATAAATAAAGGTGTTGTGTTCAACTACAACTAAAAGATAAATATTAAAAAAAAATTAGATTGCAGCTGAGCATGTTGGTGCATGCCTGTAATCCCAGCGGCTCCAGAGGCTGAGGCAGGAGGATCGCAAGTTCAAAGCCAACCTCAGCAACTTAGCAGGGCCCTGAGCAACTCAGTGAGCCCCTGTCTCTAAATAAAATACTAAAAAGAGCTGAGGATGTGGCTCAGTGGTTAAGCACCTCTGGGTTCAATCTCAGGTACCCCCCCAAAAAAAAATTAGATTGCAGACAGCAGTGTAGGAGGCTACTATAAAAATCTAGGGAGGAGATGATGGAATTGCTAAATTTCAGAATTGAGTGAAAATAAACATGTAATATTTTTCCACCCTGGTTCATGGCTGCCTTGAATTCTATCCATTGACTCCTTGGGGCTCACGAACTCTTAGTTGAGAAGCTCTGATATACCAGGCCGGTTGCGCACACCTGTAATCCCAGCGCTTGAAATGGCTGAGGCAGGAGGATTGTGAGTTCAAAGGCAGCCTCAGCAATTTAGTGAGGCCTTAAGCACCTCAGTGAAATGCTGTCTCTAAATCAAATACAAAGTAGGGATGGGGATGTGGCTCAGTGGTCGAGTGCCCCTGAGTTTAATCCCAACACACACACACACACACACACACAAAAAGCTGGAGATCTAGCTCAATGTTTAAGTGTCTGTGGTTTTAATCCCCAGTGCCAAAAAACAAAAACAAAGTATGGTGTATTATGCCTGGTACCTAGTGACTGGTTAAACAGTGAGAACAGTGGTAATATTAGTATGATGTTCATGGGAAGAGTGTTGGAAAAAACAAACTGTGACTCGATTTCTCCTACTGTACCCTAACAACACAGATCAGTTCTGTGGCCTCAAAAGATTAGGGGATTTCTCTCCAACAGCAAGCAAGCAGTCAGTACTGTAGTGAACACCAGCTGGGTGTCCTCTGTAATGGAAAGACTCTTACTCTACTTCCAAACCTAAGCCAATTCACAGGCCCAGAAAGCTTGATTGAGTAGGAGATCAGGTCCCCTTGAGGAAAGACCTTGCACTGTTGCCAAGGTATACCCCATAAAACTTCATCTAAATCTTTACCACTGGGACCCATGATCATTTACTAGAGTGACAGTGCATTTGGGGAAAAGGAAATACCTAGACCTTTTGATAATTCTAGATACTGGCTCTGAATTGATGCTAATATGGAGGAACCACTCAAAGTGGAGACTTATGATAGTCAGGTGATAGATGGAGTCTTAGCAAAGGTTCAAATCACAATAGGACCAGCTGATCAAATATAGGCATTTTCTCAGTGTCTGAATATATAATTGGAATATAAACACTTGGCAAATGGAAGATTCTCTACATTGGCTGCTGATGCACACATTAGGGTGGGAAGGGCCAATTGGAAACCCCTAGAACTTTCACTCCCCTCCAATATAGTGAGCGAAAGAAAAACTACATCCCTGTAAGAATTTTGGGGACTGATGCCACCATCAAAGACTTCAAAGAAGCATAGGTGTGGTACCTGACACATCCCCATTTAACTCAACCTGTGTAGAAGAAAGAATGGATCTGGAAGAATGACTGCATAATCATAAACTTGATCAGATGGTGATTCCAACTGGAGCTCTTATCCCAGCTATACCTTTACTGGACATGGCATCATTTTTTTAAAATATTTTTTTTAGTTGTAGATGGACACAATCAATATCTTTATTTATTTATTTTTTATTTGGTGCTGAGGATCGAATCCTGTGCCTCATGCATGCCAGGCAAATGCTCAACCACTGAGCTCCAACCCTAGTCCTGGTATCATTATTATTATTTTATTACTTCGGGGGTACCATGGTTGAACTCAGGGGTGCTTTACCACTGAATCCCATTTTATTTTGAGACAGCATCTCACTAAGTTACTTAGGGTCCTCACTAAGTTCCTGAAGCTGGCCACAAACTTTCAATCCTCCTGCCTCAGCCTCCCAAATCACTGGGATTTCAGGCATGCACCACCATACCAGCAACCTCCTACTGTTTAAAGGTCATCAAGGAAGTCTCTAATTACATAGGCTAAGAATCACAAGTGGCATCCCATCACTTTTGCTATAATTGATCTCACATATACTCTTCTGTGTTTTTTGAGATGATGATCAGGTAGGTGCTGTCAAATGAAGTAGCATGGGAGAGGCTCAGGAAAACAGTTTATTACACTCACAGGTCCTAGAAAGACAAGAGTCACTGCGTGGTGACAAGGAGGTCTCATGAAAGAAGTGCAGAGGGAGCCTGATCTACCAAGCAGGAGGGAAGCAGAGAACCGGATGACCTGTGGGCAAGAGCCTTTACTGGGAGCCAGGGTGGACCACACAAGAAAATGAGCAAGGGATTTCATGGGTACCTTTGATTGTTATTAGGTCATAGCCAGGGAAATACGAAGGGGAACGTGTGGCAGGAACCAAGGTTATTACACTGGTGCTCCTGGTCACCTGGTGGGATGCTCATGGTGTTGGTAGAGACCTTGACGCAGCAGAAACATATGAATACATACACAAAAAAGGTGTGAATTTTAGGAGGCAAAGTCATTGGGGGTCACCTGAAAGTCTGTCTACATAAACAGCACCAGCCTAACAATGAACCTAGAGGTTCATTTTTCAGAGTAGACAAAAAGGAGGTGCCTATGAGGCAGGAGACCAATTCTCAAGAGGAGGTTCCCGAAAGCAACAGAAGGATTGCTTCAAATTTGCAGAATTAAAATCTGCAGAGTTCAATTAAGATGGGACCTGGAAAAGGATCTTATTCCTCAATATTCACATGAGTGTTGAACTTGTAATTTAAAATACAGCAGGAAGCTACTGCCGTAATAGCATCCAGGATCGCTGGGGGGCTCGGGAGATTGTTCACTCTACGCACGCGCACATCGCCACTCACGCATGCGCACGACCCTCAAATAGCGTTCGACCCCGTTACCTTTTTTTTTTTTTTTTGTGTGTGTGTGTGTGTGTGTGTGTGTGTGTGGAAACGCTCTGGCGTTGGTGGAGTGGGTTCAGCGGTACGAGATGTCAGAGATGAACCCAATGAATGGCGTCAGCCACGTCTTACAGGCTGGCGTAGGCGGCAGGAGTCGGGCTCGGGAGGCCCAGGAAGGACCAGTGGCCGGAGCCGCCCAGCCCATGGCGCGGGTGCTCGGCCCGGTTCACAGGCGCGACCCGGGCCTCGCCCCAGGCCCGTTGTCAGTGCCAAACCTTCCAGGGCAGCTTGGCCTTTTAGGAGTTAATCAGCAGCAGCTCTTCCACCAATACCTGGACAGGTGCCCCCTGGTCCCAGTCAGACTGCTCCGAGCTATCGAGGAACGCCGCAGGCTGTTTGTGGAAGGCTGCAAGGCCAGGGAGGCGGCCTTCGATGCGAATCCCCCTCCGCTGGACTCCGAGGCCGTAGCTTTTACTCTAGCCCTGACTTCCTCGGAAGCTGGCAGTCCTCTGGCCGACTGAGCTGGCTGTGACTGATAAGAGGTGGTGAGGAAGGGAGGTGCCTCCCGGAGCACAGGCGACAGGCCGTGCCCGTGCAGTCAGTGGTTAGGAAGCAATGCAGCCATCGCGGACAGACGCAGCACTCCGAAGAAGAACTCGAAAGGCACTTGAGAAGCATGGAGCTGGCTTCCAGAGAGGTTCTGGAGCCTCTGACTTACCACCTGGTGACTGTGGAGCGATCCCTGTCTGCATTTGTGGAAACTCAAGATTACTTCATCAGAAAGAGTGGTTTTGCAAACAAAATCTAAGAAAAATGGCCAGTTATAGAATCCATAGAAATTAACCAAGATGACAAAAGAATTTAAGCAGATACAGTTAGGGAATCTTTAGTCATGAGGCTTGGAAGGCTATTGAAAGAACTTGGGAATTTCAGAATTTGTGGTCATCTGTCAGCCTTCAGATCTTAATTTTGTGTCTTTTGAAGTACTTTAGATGAATAGTAAATATTCAGATGCAAAAAAAAAAAAAAACACGTATTCATTGTGAGATTAACATATTTTCAAGACCATGCAAAATTGGGGTAGGTTTGGGAATAGATTTGCTTTTGTTAATGTTTAAACTGTTTTTATTCTAGTATGTGTATCTATTTACAAGACTCAAAAAAAGTATCGAAAGATATGTTGTGAGAAGTTAGCCCGATCAACCTCTAGACAGGATAATTGAAAACTATTCCTAATAGGTTATCAGTTGTTTAGGTTTTTTGGTTTTGGTTGGTTGGTTTTATTTTTTGTTTGTTTTTTAACTTATGCCTTCAACAATTTCCTACCATATACACAAATTAATATCAATCTAGATATTCTGCTTGTTTCCCTTTTAAAAATCAAGGTAGAATATGACAAGGTAGCATATTATTATATGCCTCTATCAGCATCTTGATTTTTTATCCACTTATGTTGGAGATATTTTTTCTTTATTTTTTAAGCAACTATAATGTAAGGCTGTATCTCAATCTAGTGAACTAATCTTTTGGACATCTTGGTTGTTTCCAAAATGTTTTGATATTTTCTGCGTATTTCTATGTGTTTACTTGTTTTTCCATAGAGTAGACTTCTGTAAGTGGAAGCTCTTGATTCAAGGGCATATGCCTTGGGAATTTTAACAAGTACTACCAGAGCCCCTCCTTGGGGCTCTCCCAGTTTACCTTCCCTTCAGCTGGTGATGACTGTGATTACTGGTGATTACTCCACAGCCTGGCCATTCAGATCTGGCTTTGGGAGAATCTGACAGTGAAAAAATCATTCCTCTCTGTCTTTTCAATTTGCATTTCTCTAGCTGTGAGGGCAGATATGTGGTCTCAGTGTGTAAGAGCCATTTGTTGCTTCTCTGTGAACTCTGTCCATATGTTTACTCATTTTTTATGCCTTGCAAGACTATTTGTTTATCAGTCACTAAAGAAATTAGCCCCTTGTGGTATGAGATGGAAATACATTTTCTCTGTTTGAATTGCTTTTGATCCTTTTTCCATGCATAAAACTGTTTTAATGTACCTAGATATATTCAGTTTTTCTTCTAGAAAAGGGGCTTCTAGAGCTTGAGTTATAGTTAGAAAGGCTTTGCCACTCCTGGATTATGAAGGAATACTTTGGTTTTTCGTTTTGTTTGTTTCTGTTGTTGCTTTTGGTACTGGGGATTGAACTCAGGGGTCCTTTACCACAGAGGTGTTTCCCCAGCCTCCTTTTTATATTTAATTTAGAGACAGGGTCTTGCCAAGTTGCTTAAGGCCTCCCTAAATTGCTGAGGCTGGCTTTGAACTTGTAGTCCTCTTGCCTCAGTCTCCCAAGCTGCTGGGACTACAGTCGTTTGCCACTGTGCCCTGCAGGAATACTTTGGTTTTAAATGTTAACATTAAAATTGTTTGGAATGTTTTAGGTTCTAGGAGTGCTATTCCACCCTCATTGCACTTCTTTTCCAAAGTTTTTCTGGCTATCATGGAACTTGAGGATCAACTTGACTTCTAGATTTTACAAAAGCTGATGCTATTTATATTTGGGTTACATTCAATTTATATACTTTAATGTGAAAATTAATGTCTTTCTCTCCACTAACGTGGTAAGTGTTCATTTGTTCATGTACTTTTCATGTCCCAAGATTTGTTTTTAATGTTTCCTTCTATAGGTCTTGCCCATTTTTTTTAAGTATATCCCAAGATTGGTGGTTGGTTTATAGCTATTGTGAATGAAGTTTTGTCATTTCTAAACTGAATGCTGCTGATTTTTTTCTTCATTTATTTTGTGGTGCTCTATTAAACTTTATGTGTTCTTACTGTTTATATTTTTCTTTGTTATACAGTCATATCTTTAACAGGGTAATAGTTTCATCTCATCCTTTCTAATTTTTAATAATCATTATTCCTTTCTGTTGTAGACTTGCTTTGGCTAGAAGCTCCAACTCAGTATAAATAAAAATAGGTGAGAAGGTACCCTGTCTTTTTCCTGGCTTTAATGTGTAGTGCTGGCTTTTGGATTGAAATGAATATATTGTATCCTGTTAAGGAAACGTACACTTATTCCTATCTATTGTTTCTTTTCCCCTCAAAATGTGTAGGAATTTTGTTAAAGGTCAGTTCTGTATTTTTAGATTTCTCCCATGATTTTATATTACATGTTCAGTTTTGGTTTGCATGTTTTCTAGTAGTGGTCTTTGCAATTGGAATGAAGCTCACTTGGATATGATACATTATTCCTTAGTATGATACTGGATTCTGCCTGTCAACGCTTTAAAATTTCACATTAGAATTCAAAGTGAAATTGGTTTATAGTTTATCAACCTTTTCAGTGTTTAGATCAATGTTATATTCATTTCTTATAAAGAAGATCAAGTGCTGGGGTTATAGCTCAGCAGTAGAGTGCTCACCTAGCATGTGAGAGGCCCTGGGTTCAATCCTCAAGCACCACATAAAAATAAATAAATAAAAGTATTGTGTTCAACTACAACTAAAAAATAAATGTTTTTTTTTTCAAAAAAAGAATATCAAGTGCTTGCCTACCATGTGTGAGACACTGGGTTTGATCCTGAGAACCACATAAAAAATAAATAGATAAAATAAAGAGTATTATGTCCATTTACAACTAAAAAAATATTTTAAGAATATCAAAGTATTTTGGGCCATCTTTTTCCTGATAAATAGAAAGCTACATCATCTAGTTTTTAAAGTTAGAATTAATGTAGTTTGGGGCTGGAGAGAGAGTAGCTCAGTTTGTAAAGTGCTTGTCTCACATGCCCAAGGCCCTAGGTTTAACCCCTAGCACCACACACAAAAAAAGAATTAATGTAGTCTTTTTAAACTTAAATTTATTTTTTAGTTGTAGATAGACACAATACCTTTATTTATTTTTTTAATGTGGTACTGAGAATCAAATCCAGTGCCTCACATGTGCTAGGCAAGTGCTCTACCACTCAGCTAAACCCCAGCCCCAGAATTAATGTAGTTTTTAAAGTTTTACATAATTTACTTAAAAAAAAACAGGCAGGGTAATCTTAGTTCATTAATATTTTTCCTTTTCTTCTAAGGTCAGGAGAGTGCTCACCTGTGTGTTACTATTTCTCCACTGACCCAGAGTCTAACATTTTCTGATTTATTTTGCCTGTCTTTTGAAACATGCCTCTCTTTCCATCTTTTGGTGTGGAAGGACATTACTGAATCAAGAATATTGTGCAGTGCCTGAAATCTATAAACTGTATAATACTTTACCACATTTTTTTCTATAAATCAGTTTCAATCTTCAGCATCATTGTTGCTTGTCTAACACTGGTATGAAATAATTGGAAGCCAAATTGTGTTTGCAGAACCTATGTCCTGTAATATTTTCCTTGGCTGGATTTCCTCCCTGGAGGAGACTTGCAAACAGGCCTAAGGAAATAAGCACTTGCTTCACTGCAAAAAGAATGAGAACTCACGTTAAAATAATATGTACTTGAGCTGGTGTGGTGGTGCACACCTATAATCCCAGCAACTCGGGAGGCTGAGACAGGAGGATCTCAAGTTCAAAGCCAGCCTCAGCAACTGCAAGGCGCTAAGTAACTCAGTGAGACCCTGTCTCTAAATAAAAGGGATGTGGCTCAGTGGTCAAGTGCCCCTGAAAAAAAAAGGGATGTGCCCCTGAGTTCAATCCCCAGTACCTAATAATAATAGTAATAATAATAATAATATGTACCTGTAATTTCTCTGTTCTTTTAACTCATCATCAGTCTGTGGAGGGTTTTCCCAATTTTTGTACTCTTTTCAAAGCCCAGCTATTAGCTGTTTTAAAACCTCTTGTTTTCTATTTTATTAATTTCTGCCCTTTATCATTACTTGCCTTTCTTTTTTTGGTCTATTTTTTGGGGTTTATTTTTAATTTTTTAACTTCTTGAATTATATTTTCAGTTCATCAATTTTCACCATTATTTTCTATCACAACCATTTAAGCAAGATAATAAAATTCCTTCTAAGTACTATTTTGGTTGAGTTCCACAAATTTAAGTACATATTATTTGTCTTATTTAGTTGAAAATATATCCCAATTGTGATGCTAGGGATTGAACCCAGGACCTCGCAGAGACAGAGTCTCACTAAGTTGCCCATGATGGCCTCAAACTTGTGACCCTCCCATGTCAGGTTTCCAAGTAGCTAGGAGTGTGCCACCATGTCCACCTAGAAATGTATTCTTTTTTTAATATTTATTTTTTAGTTGTAGTTGGACACAATACCTTTATTTTATTTATTTTTATGTGGTGCTGAGGATCGAACCCAGGGCTTTGCATGTACTAGGCGAGCACTCTACCGCTGAGCCACAATCCCAGCCCCTAGAAATATTCTTTAATCCCCAAATATATTCAGGTTTCTATGTTCCTCTTTTTTTATTTTTTAGTTGTTGATAGACCTTTATTTTATTTGTTTATACGCAGTACTGAGAATTGAACCCAGTGCCTCATACATGCCAGGCAAGTGCACTACCGCTAAGCCCCAGCCTAGGCCCCTCTATAATCCTTTTTTATTATTAACTTAAGTACATAGTGGTCAGAAAACATGGTTCAAGCTGGGTGCGGAGGTGCACACCTGTAATCCCAGTGCTCAGGAGGCTGAGACATGAAGATCACAAGTTCAAAGCCAGCCTCAGCAACAGCCAGGTGCTAAGCAACTCAGTGAGATGCTGTCTCTAAATAAAATACACAAAAAAAAAAAAAAAAGGGCTGGGGATGTGGCTCAGTGGTTGAGTGCCCCTGAGTTCAATCCCTGGTACCTGCCCCCAAGAAAATGTGGTTCAGATGATAAAAATTATGCTTTATGACACAATCCATTGTCAATTTTTGTAAATATTTATATTCTCTAATTGCAATTATATGCATTTGTCCATCAGGTCAAGTAATTTGTGTCAGTCAGACCTTCTACATTCTGAAATTTGTCAGTTTGAACTGTCTCTAACTCAGTTATGTTTGTCAATTTCTTGTAGTTTCCTCAACTTTTGCTCAATGCATTTTGAAGCTGTTATTAAGTACACATGGCTTAGAGTTGTATCATCATCTTGGCGAATTAAAATATCATTCTATAGTTTCTATCTTTATATCTGCAATGGAATTCAGTTAGTATCAGACTCCAAGGCTTTCAGGATTTGGTCCTCCACAAGACTGCCCTCAATAAACATCAGCCACAGTTTAGGAGTTCTCCCCAGTCCCCATGCTCCTGAGCAACAGTTTACAAATTTTAGGGTTCCACTACTCTCTCAGATTTGAAAATATGCTAAAATGTCTCTCTTTACTATAGAAGTCTATGTTTATTGTTACAGTTTTAGTATAGGAAAAATAAATCAAGTGCAAATCAGGACCAACCAGAAGAGGAGACACATGGGGGAAGGTCTGGGAGGGCTCCCGAACACAGAAGTTCCCTGTCCTTTCCTGGTGTAGTCAGGACATAGCAATCTTCTGGCCGTCTTGTCCAGAGAAGCTACCTGAGCCTCAGTGTCCACAGTTTTTATTGGGGCTTCGCTTTAAAGGTGTTATTGAGTCAGTCATTGTTCATGTGGTTGAATTCAATCTCCAGCTCCCCAACACTCACAGAAGGTGAGGATGATACCATGTGGCTCAAAGCCCAACGCTCTAATCACGTGGTTGGTCTAGATTTATGTGTATCAATGTGGTTAGATCTGAAGATTTCAGTGAATGGAAAGGATATTGTAGAGTGATGTTTGGTATGCTATCACTAATTAAGATGAAAACATTGTGTTCATGGGTGTGGACAGTTATACAAAGCAACTAGAATTTGTGGTAGGGGTGCCTCAGGGTTAAGGGCGTTTGTGAATAGAGACTTCAAGGTAGTATCACTGGCTATTACATACATGGGCAGTACTGGGTGGTAGAATGTATGTACTTCTTACGTATTTTGTATTTTATTAAAAAATCTTTAAAAACAAAAGGATACATGTGGTTATAAAGAAGGAAAAATCAAATTATAAGCTTTTAAGTACCAGATACATTTTTAAATTACTGAATTTTGGGGCTGGTGGCTCATGGCTCAGTAGTAAAGCATTTGCCTAGCACATTCAAGACCCTGGGCTCAGTCACCAGCATAAATAAGTAAATAGAAAAGCATAAATAAGTAAATAGAAAAGCACTAAAGTTTGGGGGGCAAGTCACACATTCTATAGAAACATGATTAATAAGATTGGGACTAATGCTGTCCATGGTCTTCCTGAGCTATTTTCTGTCCCTTTATGGGTTTGTTTGTTTTTTTTTTTTTTGGTACTGGGGATTGAACTCAGGGACACTCGACCACCAAGCCACATCCCCAGCCCTTTCTTGTATTTTATTTAAGAGACAGGGTCTCACTGAGCTGCTTAGTGCCTTGCTTTTGCTGAGGCTGGCTTCGAACTCATGATCTTCCTACCTCAGCCTCCCGAGCTGCTGGGATTACAGGCATGTGCCACCACACCCAGCTGTCCCTTCATGTTTTTAAAAAGACCTTGTTTTAGCCAGGTAATCCCAGTAACTCAGAAGGCTGAGGTAGTAGTATCACCTGTAAGGACTTAGCAAGACCCTCTCTCAAAACATAAAAAAAAATGGGCTGGGGATGTGGCTCAGTGGTAAAATGCCCCTGGTTTCAATCCCCAATACAATAAAAAGGGAGGAAGGAAAAAAATTAAGAAAAAGAAGTCCTCTTTTTGGATGCATATAGACCAGGCTCAAAATGAGACAAGATAATCTCATGACATGTTGTGTCCCAACATCATATGAGTGACATCTTCCACATCCCATTTCTGGGCATGAGTGTGCAAATGTGTGTGTATGAATGTTTGTATGTCCCTTTTTTTCTGGAAATTTATGGGGTGTAGACACTGGGGCCTCAGAAGTATGCACATCTATGTGCTGTTATTTTTTTAGGTTTAGTTTGCAGTTCTCCACAGGTCTTTGAGAACAGAGATGCCTCCTGTTATGAGTCTGTTT